GCTCTTCCGGTCAGTGTCAAGGGTCTGGAATCTGGGGGGCCCCTGGTCTGCCTGCTCGGCGCCCTGTGATGGAGGCATCCAGACACGTGGACGCAGCTGCTCTGCCTCGGCCCCTGGGGACCCTGAGTGCCAGGGACCCCACAGCCAGACCAGGGACTGCAACACGCAGCCCTGTTCAGGTACCAAATCTCCTCCCCACTCCCCGCCACCCCCAAATCTCCACCCCTTACCCCACCCTGCTTCGCACATCACTGACCTCTGGCTCCAGGACAGGCAAGGCCTGAGCTGAGACTCTGCTGGATTTCCTGTTTCCTCCAGCTCCTGCCTGCTGGGGACCAGGCACCAGCTGTGGCCCAAGGGTGGGGACTTCCTTTGGCTTCTCAATTCTGCCACCGGGCTGCCGCCAGTCACCTGCACGCAGGTCCCCTTCCGCTCGCCCACCCCGCCATCTCCTGGCCCTTCCCTCCACCGCTGCTGAGACCCGCTCTGTCTTCCCGTCCAGCCCAGTGCCCAGGGGACATGGTGTTCCGCTCAGCCGAACAGTGCCGCCAGGAGGGGGGCCCATGCCCTCGGCTGTGCCTGGCGCAGGACCCTGGGGTGGAATGCACCGGCTTCTGTGCCCCTGGCTGTGCCTGCCCTCCTGGCCTCTTCCTGCACAATGCCAGCTGCCTGCCCCGCACCCAGTGCCCCTGCCAGCTGCACGGGCAGCTCTACGCACCGGGAGCGGTGGCTTCGCGGGACTCCTGCAACAACTGGTAAGCCACCAGCGTCGGGGCAAGGGGAGGGCGGGTGGGAGAGGGGCCTGGTGGCTCCAGAGGGGGCAGGTGTGGATGCACATGCACGGGGGTGGGGGGAGGCTTAGCATGCCTCCACGGTACCCTGCGAATGCCAGGGTGCGCGAGATAACCGGGCCTGGAGGAACAGTCACGCCCATTCGACTTACGGGAAGACGGAGGCTCAGATAGGTGATCTGTGCTGGAGCGAGAGCCCGGAGAGGGGCTTCCAGCTTCTCCAGTTACCTCTGTTTCTCTTTCCTGAACGCAGTTCTCTACCTGGGATTCGCTGGTTTCCACTCAGAAACCCCGAACGCCCGATATTCAAAGCTGACGCTGGGCATCGCCAGCAGAGGGCGCGCTAACCCTTCCTTTTCCCTTTTCCATGTTGATGCCATTTCCCACTCTTCATTCTTCATCTTGCTCTTTGTTTTCCATCCTCCGGCCCCAACCTCCAACGCTCTCCTTCATTTTTCCTCTCCCCCCGCCCCCCTCCTCCTACGTTGCTTTTTCTCTAAGATTCTTTTTCTGGAAATTCCACCTAATTGACAAGTGGCCTTTGACACATTTGTTGGAGAAAAGTAAAGGGGAGACAAAGTGTGCGGTTTCCCTCCGCGGGGGGCCCGAGTTAGGACACGCTCTGTCTATAAATCTCTCCTCCCGGCTCTGGAAAGCCGCTCCAAGTCGCTTCCAAACAGTATTTAGTAAACACCAGTGGCATAGAAAGTCTGAGAAGGTGGCTCCTGGGTAAAGCCGTGGGACCGAGGGCGGCCGGTGCAGGGCGTCGGGGGCTGGCGGGGGGCAGAATTCTCCTGGCGGGAATCCTGAATCGCGGAGGAAGCTCGCGTGGACGCGGGCAGCGCGCTTGGCTTCCCAAACCCTTGGCTTCGGTTCTGTGCGGTGTCCTCCTGGGCGGTGCGGGGTCCGCAGTGGCTCTGGGGCAGGTGCGCAGAGCTCCAGGCGCAGGGGCTGACCGTGGCCGTGACGGGCCCTCTGTCTGCAGCACCTGCGTCTCTGGCGAGATGGCGTGCACCTCGGAGCCCTGCCCAGGTACCCCCGTGCTCGACCCCGGGAATCAGAGGAGGCGGGTCCTCAGGGACCAGAGGGGACGCTGGTCCCTTCAGAGATCAACCCCACGGGGTTCCTCAGTGACGCCCCGGGGAAGTGGGGGTCCAAGGACAACTTGACCTGGTTTCACACCTGCCGTGACCCGCCCCGCATACCCGCCATGACAGTGGCCTGTGGCTGGAGCCCCTGGACCCCATGGAGCCTCTGCAGCCGCAGCTGCAACGTGGGTATCCGGCGACGCTTCCGGGCGGGCACCGCGCCCCCAGCTGCCTTTGGGGGGGCTCCGTGCCAGGGTCCCGACATGGAGGCTGAATTCTGTAGCCTGCAGCCATGCAGAGGTGAGAGCTGTGACCGAGGTCCTCAGAACACTCCAGAGAGGAGCTGAGGACACTCCCAGTCGCTCCCCCACCAGGACCCCAAGAGAGGTGCAGGGGCCTTCCCTAAAAGATGCCACGAACATGTGGTCCCCAGGAGGCCCTGACAAGTCCTCCCTGGGGGCCAGCCTGCTCCAGGCCAAAACCTGGGACCTCCCGAGAAAGGGCAGTGTCTCTTGGGGCGGGATGGGGGAAGGAAGGGGGTGCCCTAGGGTGTCTGGGATCCAGGGGGTGGAGGTGCCCAGGTGTGTGGGTGTGTGAAGAGGAAGTGGGCTAAGTGTACGGAGAAGGCCTGCAGTGACCGGGGGCCACCCCAGGTCCTGGTGGGGAGTGGGGCCCTTGGTCTCCGTGCTCCGTGCCCTGCGGTGGTGGCTTCCGGAACCGCACCCGAGGCAGTGGCCCGAACAGCCCTGTGGATTTCTCCACCTGTGGCCTGCAGCCCTGTGCAGGTGAGGGCTGCCCTGGGGACCTACTTTGCCTACTGTGCCCCTGCCGCAGCGCTCATCAGCCACCTGACCCCTGGCCCTGTCGACCTCCCCCTCTTACCCCAGGGACCCCTCTCCCTGACCTGTGCAGCCCTGTGACCTCCCCGGTCACACACAGCAGAGCTGATGCCTCTCCCAGGTTGGGATCCCAGGGGAGAGTTGAGTGAGCCTGGACTAGGCTGTCAACTTCTGTGTCCCCAGGGCCAGTGCCTGGCGTGTGTCCCATGGACAAGCTGTGGCGGGACTGTGCCCAGGGCCCTGCCTCCTGTGCAGAGCTCAGTGCCCCACGAGAGACTAACCAGACCTGCCAGCCTGGCTGCTACTGCTCGCCTGGGATGCTCCTGCTGGTGAGCAGCCTCCCTGCCTGGCCTCCTCAGGGCCTGGGGACCCTGGATGGCAGGGAAGGGACAGGCACGGCCTGAGTGGATGCAGAGACAGGGGGACCCTACAGAGCGGAGGGGAGAGCACTGAACTCAGAGGTGGTGGCTCAGCTCTGCCAGCAACCAGCAGGTGACCCGGGCGAGCTGCATTCATGTCTCCTGGGGCCTCTGTTTTTTCTGGAATGGTGGTAGGTCTACCAGGTCTTTGTGATTCATGCCTGCCCGAGCACTATGCCTCTCAAGTTATGGACAGCTATCTCCTGAGCACCTACTATGTGCTCAGTCTTGGGCTACATTGTGAGGCACGAGCAGGCTCTGCTCTCAAGAAGCCTCCAGCTTAGGGAAAGCAGACCTGGAACCCCTAGAATGAAGACAGAACCCTGCATTACACAGGAAGTGAGCTTCGCAAGCTCTAGAGCGTGAGATGCAGACTGGCAGGGGCTGGGTCAGTCACGGCGGGCTTCCGAGAGGAGGTGGTCCTGACTGTCCGTCAAAGATGGGAGTGTGTGGAAAGCAGGGAGGCGGCCACTCCAGCCGGAGGCGGTGGGGACCGTGGCTGGGAAGTGCAGCAGGCCTGGTGGAGTTTGGACAAAGCTCGTGGAGCGGTCGGCAGGGCTTACGGAGGCGCCGCCGAGCTGTGGGCCTGGGTAAAGGAGAGACTCGTGGGGTCTGGCTTCAGATCAGGCTCTTCCACTAGCAGCTCTGTGACCTTGGGCCGAGTGTTCTCGAGCCTCAGTTTCTTCGTTTGTACAACCGGGGTAACGCTGTACCCGGTCATCCGAGTCTGGAAGACAGTGAAGAGGCTCCCAGGGCCTGGCCGGATACCTCTGTGTACTTGATTTTGAACCATGCGCTCGCTGTTTTTTAAAAACTTGAGACGCTAGCGACTTCTGTCCAGACTCATTGTGCCCATAGTCTGGTCGGTTTTATCTTGTCGATGAAAACGTAGGGGTCACCGTACTAATAGCACCTTTCGTGTCTTGTTGGCTGATTCCATGGGCGTTTGACAATCGGGAACGATCTTTTTCTCCCAGAGATTGGGGGTCCGTGCCCCGCCACACTGGCAGGCGTGGGAAGGGACAGATGTGTGTGGAAGGGGTGCGCATGGCGTTTGGGGAGGGGGCCTGGGCAGGGGCGCCGACCGACCGGGCTGAGATTGGAAGGTGATGGTGGGGGTTTTGGTCCCAGAACAACGTGTGCGTGCCCGCCCGGGACTGCCCCTGCGTCCACAGGGGACGGCTCCACGCCCCGCGCAGTGCCGTGCTCCGTCCCTGTGAGAACTGGTGAGACCCCGCCCCGTGCAGTGGCCCTGTGACCCCCCAGCACCCTGCTGTCCGTCCTCAGCGGCAGGGGACCTCGGCTTCCGGCGGGCCGCCCCCTTCCCCCACAGGCGCGGGGTCCGGCTCCCGAGGCCGCCCACCCCGTCCGTACCAGGCTGCTGTCTTCTGTCCTGTCTGGTCTGACGGGGCTGCCACAGCGTCACAGACCGCGTGGCTACGACGACCAAAGTTTGTCCTCTCCCCGTTCTGGGCACAAGAAATCTGAGACCAAAACGTCGGTCGGGTGGTTTCTCCTCGAAAGTGGGAGGGAGAACCCGTCCGGGCCCCGGTCCTCCTCTGCGTGTGGCCTCCCCTGACGTCCCCTCTGCGGCGGCTGCATCGCTCCCGTCCACCTTCGCACGGCCCCTTCCCTGTGTCTTCACGTGTGTGTCCCCGAATGTCCCCTCGTGTAAGGACACCAGTTGCAGTGGACTAGGGCCACCCCGATGCCCTCGTTTTAACGTGATGATCTCCGTGAAGACCCCCGTCTCCAAACAAGGTCACGCTCTGGGGCTTAGGCCTTCAACAAATGGATCCGGGGGGCACAACGGCGCCCCAACCCTCCGCTGCTCTTCCTCCAGCTCCTGTGTGTCTGGGCTCGTCACCGACTGCACGCCCCGGCCCTGTGAGGAGGGTGAGAAACGGGCCCACTCCTGACCCCCCCGAAGTGGGCACGACTGGTGCCGGGGAAGGAGCGCCCCAGGACGGGGCAGCGGGAGGGGGCCTCGCCCGGGTCTCTCTCTGCCCCTCCCTGCTGTGCACCCCCAGGTCTGCCCGTGTGGTCTCCGTGGACCCCGTGGAGCGAGTGCTCGGCCTCCTGTGGCCCTGCCCGACGCCATCGGCACCGCTTCTGTGCTGGGCCCCTCAGTGTGGTGCTGTCCAGCGGGGCACCGCTGCCCCCGGCAGCCTCGCCCGCTCCTCTTTGCCCAGGCCCCGAGGCCGAGGAGGAGCCCTGCCTCCTGCCAGGGTGTGACCGTGAGTCCCCCAGAGCCCGGGAAGGCACCCCAGGGGATACCCGCTGCCTTGTACCCGCCACCCTTCAGCCCCAGCCAAGCCCCCTCCCCACGCTCCTTCCTCTGCTGTCCCCTCAGGAGCTGGGGGCTGGGGTCCTTGGGCTCCCTGGTCCAGCTGTAGCCGGAGCTGTGGGGGAGGCCTTCGGAGCCGAACTCGAGCCTGCGACCAGCCCCCACCCCAGGGCCTGGGAGATTACTGCGAGGGGCCCCAGGCCCAGGGGGAGGCCTGCCAGGCCCTGTCATGCCCAGGTACCTGCCAGGGATAGGGGCGGGGCCAAGGAGCAGAGGCAGGAAAGCTGCAGGAGGCTTTATGGGGAGAGAGGCTGGGATGGGCAACCCGCACAGCTCTCAGCCCACCCCACCCCCTCCCACAGTGACCGACTGCGCCTCCACTGAAGGGGCCGAGTACAGTCCCTGTGGGCCTCCCTGTCCTCGCTCCTGTGATGACCTCGTGGTGAGTCCAGGCCCCCTTGGCATGTCCATCTGACCCCTGGCTCCCAGGGTCACCTTACAGCGGGGCAGGGTAGGGCACTGGAGGGAGGGATGGGGTCATCTCCCACCAGGCCGGCACCCTGTTGTTCCCGGAGAGGCTCGGAGACCTTGACTTTGTATTCATGTGTGTACATGTGTGTGCATGTGCATGCGTGTGCATGTGTGTTCGTGTGTGCATGTGCATATTCATGTGCATATGCATTCATGTGCACGTGTGCGTGTGTGCATGTGCATGTCCGTGTGTGCATGTTCATGTGCATGCGTGTGCATGTGTGTGCGTGTGTGCACGTGCATGTTTGTGTGTGCGTGTTCATGTGTGTGCATGTGCATGTGTGTTCGTGCGTGCATGTGCATATTCATGTGCATATGCATTCGTGTGCATGTTCATGTGCGTGCATGTGCATGTTTGTGTGTGCATGTTCATGAAGGGGCCGAGTACAGTCCCTGTGGGCCTCCCTGTCCTCGCTCCTGTGATGACCTCGTGGTGAGTCCAGGCCCCCTTGGCATGTCCATCTGACCCCTGGCTCCCAGGGTCACCTTACAGCGGGGCAGGGTAGGGCACTGGAGGGAGGGATGGGGTCATCTCCCACCAGGCCGGCACCCTGTTGTTCCCGGAGAGGCTCGGAGACCTTGACTTTGTATTCGTGTGTGTGCGTGTGTGTGTGTATGTGTGTTCGTGTGTGTGCGTGTGCATATTCATGTGCATATGCATTTGTGTGCATGTGTGCGTGTGTGCGTGTGCATGTTTGTGTGTGCATGTTCATGTGCGTGCGTGTGCGTGTGCATGTGTGTGTGTGTGCCTGTGCCTGTGCAGGTGCTTATGTGTGAGACTGTTGACTGAGCGCCCGGCCAGGACCATGGAGAGGGACAGTTCAGAGCAGACTTGGCTCTTGTCCAGTGGAACCTGCATGGTGGGGAGGCAGCGGGTCTGAAGCAGAGATGCTGGACCCGTGGAAGAAGGACGGTGGGCCTGTCTGGGGGGGTCCAGGAGATGGAAGAGGGAGGGGCAGTGCCTGGCTCCTTGCCTCCCCTGGACCTTCCCAGCAGGGCTGTCTCTCCCCGCAGCTTGCCAGCCCCTGCTCCCTAAGTCCTGGGCAATCTGGGAGACGCCTTGGTTCCTAGGCATTGACCTGGGGTCCCCACTGAGCCCTCCATGGGGCTCACCTTTGGAGGAACCCCCCCCACCAAGGGAAACTCCTCCCAGGCTCTCCTCTCCTCCCCTCTGCCCTGGGAGGGGACAAGGCAGACGTGCCAGTGAAACTCGGGCAATGACCATGTTGAGGACGTAGGCGCTGAGCTGGGATGTCACCCTTCCTCCCCTCTGCACATCCCCAGCCTCCTGCCTCCTGCACCGCCAGGGCGCCCCTCCCTGGCCCCTCGGCCCCATTTTCAGTTTTGCTGACCAGAGACCCACCTGCTGTCCCCCAGCACTGTGTGTGGCGCTGCCAGCCTGGCTGCTACTGCCCCCCGGGCCAGGTGCTGAGTGCCGACGGGGCCCTCTGCGTGCAGCCCGGCCACTGCAGCTGCCTGGACCTGCTGACCGGGGAGCGGCACCGCCCGGGCGCTCGGCTGGCGAGGCCGGACGGCTGCAACCGCTGGTGAGGGAGGGCGCGGCAGGCAGCAGGCGCGGGGTGAGGCAGAGCGCACCCCGGCTCTCCCCGGTCTCCGCTGACGCAGGGTGTACTCCCACAGCCCCTAAGGAGATGCGGCAGGCCCCCGACCCCTGTCTGAGAGGTGGGGACGCTGAGGCAGCTGCAGAGGGCTGGGCGTGTGCTCCGAGGGGAGGAGGGTCACAGGTGTGGTGTTTCCTCTGCTGTCTGGTCCCAGTTGGCAACAGACTACCCGTGGTCATCTCCCAGTAGGACACACCAGCCAGTGACCAGCAGGGAGCCCAGGGGCCACCTGAAGGGCCTGAGTGGGACAGGAAGCAGGCTCTGGAGGCGCTGGAGATGGGAAGGGGGACCCAAGAGCTTGGAGGGACATGAGGGTGAAGGGGCGAGGGGAAGGGAAGAGGCGGCATAGGAGGGGTGCCTGTGGGGGCACGGCCGGGACTGAGCTGCGATCCCCCCAATCCCGTGCCCTATGCCCCGCCCAGCACCTGCTCAGAGGGGAGGCTGAACTGCACAGACCTACCTTGCCCAGGTACGTACCCAACGCAGAGGGAGGTGAGGAGAAGCAGCCAGGGTGGCAGAAAGGGCCGGGGCTGCAGAAGGGACTGCCGTGCCTGGTGCCCACTACTGTCCCCTACAGTTCCCGGCAGCTGGTGCCCGTGGTCGGAGTGGACAGCCTGCTCCCAGCCCTGCGGGGGCCAGACAAGGACCCGCTCCAGGGCCTGCGCCTGTCCTGCTCCTCGGCACGGAGGGTCCCCGTGCCCTGGGGAGGCAGAGGAGGCCGGGGCTCAGCACCAGAGCGAGACCTGCCCCAGCCCCTCCACGTGCCCAGGTGAGCTGCCCTCACGCATCTGCTCCAGTCCCCGCAAGCTGGCCCCCTGGGCTTCCTAAGGTGATTCTGTCTTCCTGGCACAGCGGACGGCGCCTGGAGCCCATGGGGACCATGGTCTCCCTGTGACGCGTGCCTGGGCCAGTCCCACAGGACTCGGGCATGTAGCTGGCCCCCCACCCCTGAGGGGGGCAGGCCCTGCCCCGGGGGCCACAGGCAGAGTCGCCCCTGCCAGGACAATTCCACACAGTGCACAGGTGAGGCCTTCTGCAGAGACCTGGGAGAGTCCCTTCTGAGGCTGGGGAGACGGTGATGCTGACCTCTGACCCCACCCCCCCCACACACATGCATGTCACTCTCTTTGAGGGGCGGTCCTTAGGTCACTCGCCCCATGGACTTGGGATGAGGTGGAAGGTCTGAGCAGGCGGCACACCCCAACCCTGCCCATTGCGGGGTATCAGGAGTCCTGGGATGGGCCCGCTCAGCACCCCCCTCTCTGCCTCCCTCCTGCCGTAGACTGCGGGGGTGGCCAGGCTCTTCTCCCCTGCGGGCACCCCTGCCCCCGATCCTGCCAGGACCTGTCCCCTGGGAGCGTGTGCCAGCCAGGCTCGACGGGCTGCCAGCCCAGCTGCGGGTGTCCCCCCGGCCAGCTGTCCCAGGACGGCCTCTGTGTGGCCCCTGCCCAGTGCCGATGCCAGTACCAGCCCAGAGCCATGGGTCAGTGCTGCCCTCGCCCTTGCTCACCGGCCCACTGGCCCATGCCCGGCGCCTGCCCCTCTGCTCACGGGGCCAGCCTGGACTACAGGATGGGCGTGGACCCCCTGGCTGCTCCAACACTGCAGGCCTATCCGCCCGTACTCCCCGCTCCCCCGGGCTGGTCCAGGTCGGGGCCTCCATCCCCATGTCCAAGACTCGAGGCCCCACAGGATGGAGACTCATGGGGAGGGAAGTAGGAGGCAGTGGCTTGGGAGAAGGAATTGGGGGCATGCTGAGCTGCCCGGGGTCCCGCCCCCACTCCTGTGCCCTCAGGGATCCCTGAGAACCGGAGTCGGTCAGCAGGGTCTGCTCTCAGCTCCTGGGAGAGCCTGGACCCCGGAGAGGTGGTGGCTGGGCCGTGTGACAACTGGTGAGCCAGGGGAAGGGACAGGGAGGGCGGGGTGTCCGCTGGGCAGCGGGGCCCTGAGGGGATGAGCCAGGGGCGTGTATTCTGAAGCCCGGCCCTCGTCCCCAGCACCTGCGTGGCGGGCACTCTGCGGTGCCAGGAGGTTCCCGGCTGCCCGGGCCCCGGGGTGTGGGGCTCTTGGGGCCACTGGGAGGACTGCAGCGTCTCGTGCGGGGGAGGGGAGCAGCTGCGTTCTCGGAGCTGTGCCCGGCCCCCCTGCCCCGGGCCTGCCCGCCAGAGCCGCCTCTGCCACACCCAGGTCTGCAGAGGTGAGCCCGGCCCGGCCCAGCTTCACGCTCTCACTTAGGTTTGGGTCCCCTCTTGGCCTTTGACCTTGACTCACAGGTGTCTTTTGATCCCTCCCACCTCATCCCCACATGCTGCCCCTTCCCGGGGGAAGTAGCCAGATTTGGGCTGTGCCAAGGGCTGGGGAGCCCGTTGGAGGGGGCGTGACAAGGCACTGAGGGGCCCAGCCCAGGGAGGATGTGGTCGGCACAACGTGGGGGACGTGGGGCCATGGGCACTTGGGTGAGAGGCAGGTCGAGAGGAAGCGGGCACTGGGCCAGCGCCGGGCACTGACTCAGGCGTTGCTGCAGAGGCGGGCTGCCCGGCCGGACGTCTGTACCGGGAGTGCCAGCGTGGAGAGGGGTGCCCCTTCTCCTGTGCCCACGTCACTCAGCAGGTGGCCTGCTTCTCCGGTGGCTGTGAGGAGGGCTGCCACTGCCCCGAGGGCACCTTCCAGCACCGCTCGGCCTGCGTCCAGGTCAGAACCCAGGCAGCCAGGAGCCCAGGGCCCTCCCCCTCTACCCGCGCCCGGTCCCCCTCGCCCCCCACCCATTCCCCCCACTTCTCCTCAGCTGTCAGCTCCTCGCCTCTGCAGACCCTCTGGCCTCCAGGCAGCTCGCTCCTCCCTCACGTGACCCTAAGCTGTCTGAGGCCTTAGCTGCCTGCGTCTGTCCATCGAGGGGCATCCCAGGGAGTGGGGACGTCGCCCGGGCCCCTGCTCTTCACTAACGCGTCTCCTCGGCTTCCAGCTCCAGCTTGGAGCCACCTCTGACGGAGATGTGGCCAGGGGTCCCCTCTGGGTCCTCCTCGGCTCCCAGCTCCTGGCAGGGCGTGCTGCGGGTTTCCTGCCAGACCCCAGTGACTCCCACTCAGTTCAGGCCCCGGCAGGGACTCATGGGTCCTCACTGCCCCCAGTTCCCTTCCATACCTTGTGCGGAAAGGGTCCCCTCACCTTCACTCTGCCTGGTTCCAGACTCCTTGTCTCGGGCTGTGGGGTCCAGGTGGCAGGCAGGTGCCGCGCTGCTCTGTGAAGCCCAGAGGCACACGGGATTCCCTTGCGATTCCAAACCCCAATCTTGAAGCCAGCATCCAGCAGCCTCCCCCACCGGCCAGAGTTCTAGAACACCGTGTTTGGACGGGAACTGAGCAGCCACCTGATCCCACTCCTGACTTAGAGCTGATGACACTGAGCCCCAGGGAAGGGAAGGGACACGCCAAATCACGCAGTTGTTGGTAGAGCTAGAAGCCAGCTCAGGTGTCCCAGTTCCTGGCTGCGGCACCTGCCCTCCCCCACACCGTCCAGTCCCGACCTGTAAGGGCCTCTGCTGACCCTGCTGCATCCTAGCTCTGCGCCGTGTGCAGCAAAGCTGGCTGTCTGTCTTAGGTCAAGACCATAGGTCATGCACCTCTCACCTGACACAGGTGAGCAGTCCCACTTGCTCTGGAAATGCTGTCCTGGGGCCCAGAGCCTCGCCCCGCCCCCTCTGAGGGTGTGCACAGGTGCAGAGGGCTGGTACCAGGCGGGTGGCTCTGCTCCTGTCATCACGTTTCTCCTCTGCCCCCACCCCCAGGAGTGCCCCTGCGTGCTGACAGCCTCATTGCTGCAGGAGCTGGGAGCTGCCAGCGCTGACCCTTGGGCTCACCCGCCCGTTCTGGGAGACGGCGGTCAGCCCCTTGGGCCTGGAGATGAGTTGGATTCAGGCCAGATCCTCCATACCGGTTGCAGCAACTGGTGAGGGGGACGGCGAGGGGAGAGACTTGGGGTCAAGAGAGGGGGAGTGTTGGGCCGCCCTGGCCCCCACCCAGCCTCGGCTGACCCTGGCCCAGTCTCCTTTCCCTTTGGGCTGAGACCTTTGCCCATGCCCCCCATGCCCATTCCCCCGGGGGCCGTCCTGCCCCTCCACTCACCCCCATGCCCTCTCCCCAGCTCCTGCCTTCATGGGAAGCTGTCTTGCTCCGCGGGCGACTGCTCCAAGGCTGGAGGTGGCTTCGGTCCCTGGGGGCCTTGGGGCCCGTGCTCCCGCTCCTGTGGTGGGCTGGGCACCCGCACCCGCACCCGCTCATGTGGTGGCCCATCGCCCGCTGCCGGCGGCCAGGGCTGCCGTGGGCCCCTGCAGAACCTCGGGTACTGCCTCAGCCCGGACTGCCCAGGTGAGGGGAACGGGGAGGCGCTGGGCAGAGTCTGACGGCAGAGGCCACTTCGGCCGGCCCTCTGTCCTTTTCTGTCCCTGTCCATCCTTGTTGCTACCTCTGGGTCTCTTTCTCTCACCTTCTAGCTCTGCGCTTGGCTTCTATTCAGGTACATTCAGCCAACATTTCTGGAGCTCTTTCCAGATGTACCTTACTGTGTGTGTGTATTGGGGGGGAGCAAGGACCCTGTCCTTGGAATCCAGGGCCTCAGACAACCATGTCAGCATGTGGGGAGCCCTGCAGGAGGGTGCACATGCTACGGAAGATCGCGAGGTTGAGAACCGCCCTTGAGGGGCGGTCTGGGAGGACTTCCTGGAGGAGGCAGCATTTAAAGGGGCTCGGGAGATGGAGAGGAGTTTGACCGGCATTGGAGGGGAAAGAATGCCAGGTGGCAGAAGCAGCTGGAGCAAAGGCCTTGCTGCCACGAGGAAGCGCTGTGCTTGGGGGCTGGAGTGTCCACGGGAGGCCAAGCTAAGGGAAGGGCTGAACCAGGCAGCCACGGGGTTTGCAGCTCCGCCAGCCTCGGGCTGGGCTCTGGCGCACTGCAGCCTGGGAGATGTTTCTGAGCAGGGTTTTCCTTTGGCACAGGGGCTGCAGGGTCCACGGTGGAGCCGATGACAGGCCTTCCAGGTAGCACAGATGCTTCAGCTCCCGGCCCCGCACTCCCCACACCCCTTCCTTTGGGTAAAAGCAAGCTCAGGGCCTCCTCCCTCTTCAGCCCTGCTTCCTGGGAGGCCGGGAGCCCAGGGCTGACTCATCGGGAGCCACCTCTTCCTCCTGTTCCCCCAGGTGGCTGGGGCCCGTGGTCCCCATGGTCCCCCTGCTCCCGAAGCTGCACAGACCCTATGCTCCCTGCTTGGCGCGGCCGCACCCGCCTCTGCCTGGCGAACTGCACCGGGGGGCACACTTCACAGGAGCGCCCTTGCAACCTGCCCTCCTGTACAGGTGCTCCCTCCGGTCCCGACCTCTGACCCTAACCGCATCTGAATCCCAACCGTCCCCTCCGACCCCCAACATCCGCCCTCAAACAACTAATTCTAAGCCCCAGCCGGTGTCCAACCCCAAACCAACATCTAACATCCCTCGAGCACGTGCCGAGTTCTCGGCCTGACACCGGATCACGGATCCGTGTCTGACTCTGGGCCCCGGGCCCTGTGCCAACCCTGGCACTGTCTGGGAGCCCCGCCAACTTCCAGCAAATCCTCGCTCGTGTGTGTACCGAACACCCTCCCCCAAGGTCCCATCCAAAGCCCTCAGCAGCCCAGTGAATCTGGCAGTACTGCCCTCTAGGAGAAAGGGGACACAGAGGCCTCGTTGTCAAAGCCTCAGGCACTCAGTATCGTGAAGTCATAGCTGACCCTGAGGAGGGGTCTGCGCTTGAGCTGGGGCGGGAGGAGGAGGGGCTGGCTCCAGCTCAGCTTCGTCCTGTTGCACAGAGCTGGCCCTGTGCCCTGGCCCTGGCTGCGTGGCCGGGAACTGTTCCTGGACTGCCTGGGCCCCCTGGGAGCCCTGCTCCCGCAGCTGTGGGGTGGGCCAGCAGCGCCGCCTGCGAGCGTACCGTCCCCCAGGGCCCGGCGGGCACTGGTGCCCCGACATCCTCACGGCTTACCTGGAGCGCCGCTTCTGCAGCCTGCGTGCGTGCCCAGGTGAGGCGGGCTGGTGAGGACCGGCACACCCTTCCCTGGCATCAGCGCCCCCACAGAGGACCCTGCCCCCCTGTCTCTGCGACATCAAGGGCCCTGTCTCTGAGCCAGACCCTCGCATAGCCCTGTTCTTTCCCACCCAGTGCCCGGAGGCTGGTCACGCTGGAGCCCCTGGTCCTGGTGTGACCGGAGCTGTGGGGGTGGCCGATCCCTGAGGAGCCGCAGCTGCTCGAGCCCCCCACCCAAGAATGGGGGTGCCCCCTGTGCTGGGGAGAGGCACCAGGCTCGACTCTGTAACCCCATGCCCTGTGGTATGTTGGGGTACAGCACAGTTCTACCTGCCTTCCCACCCCCACCTCTAAGTTCATCCCCATGACACCCTGTGACATAGATGGGGGACAGTCTGGTACCTCTTTGGCCAGTTAACGAATCGGAGACCCCCAGGGGCAGCTGTCAGGATCTGGGCACTGGGCGAGGACTCCCTGTGCCCAGGGCTGAGCGGCTGGAATCTGCCCCCTGCCCGCCCCTGCCCCGGGTCATTCTCCCTGCCTTGCCCCACCCTCCGGGTCCTGAGGAACTGCCCGCTCTGTTGGATGATTTGAGGGTGACTGACGGTCATGAGTGTTACCTGGTACCTGAGATGTGGACTGAGCCAGACAGGCTGTGACCGCCCCCGCCCCGCCCCCGA